TGGGCGGGGCGGAGCGGCAAGAAGACGAAGGGGGAACCGTATCTGATGGGGAAACGCGGATTGACGTAACACCTGTTTTGAACTTCAAGCATCACCTCAAGAAGGATCTCTGCTACCCTCTGGTGGACGAAGACGCAAACAACACCATAGTTGCTTCATAAAAATTTGATTCTGGTGTGGAAATTATTTTAAACGTTTATGATTGACTTGAGTAACCCAGCAAACGTGTGCATTGGATGAAAACTTGATTTAAATAACAGTGCATGTGTATCGGTAGGTTTGATATAAACTTTAATATCCAGTTGAAATGCTGTGATATTTGGACCTTTAAAAGGTTTTGGTATCTAAAAAAATCCACTGCATTAAGGCTTATTGGTGACTTTAATTTGATTAAAGCATTGTGATTATTTAGGGTGTGTAAAAAAAAAAAAAAAATCCTCCAGTGTCATCCACATACCTGAAATAATGCAAAGGGTTTTTTTTTAACGAGATGCATTGAAGGTCGATGTTTCCATTTCAGCCATAAAAATATTTGCAAATGCAAACCTTTTAGTCATGGCAGCTCCTTTAACCTGCTGAAAGTACTTATTAAATTGGAAATCATTCTGGGTCAAATTGATTTATAATGATGGGAAGATTTCCTTTGCATAATAAACACATAGCAGCACACAATCTGTATAGGATTTCCATTTTTATTTAAATACAAAAATGTACATGTTTTTACCACAGAGATAGATCCATTACAAAATGTTACTCAGTTTCAATCATTACAGCATATAAAACCCCAAAACACCAGACAAACACGTTTGCAGAAGTTTATTTTATAAACTTATTATAAACAATATTAAAAATCTACAGCACACAAAAAAGTGCAGTAAGTTTTAATACTAGACCAGGAAGTCTGAGAATAATGTCTCAACGAGGCAACAAGGCATTCAAGTAAAAACTGGCATCCGAGAATTTTTTTTTACCTAGAAAACAAGAGAAATTAAAACCAACAGAAAGCAAACCAAATTTTCCTCAAGAAAAACAAACATAAGGCATAGAAATGTACTGATTCATATATGTCATGTAATCACATCTTCTCATCAGGAACTGGTAGCAAAAAAACAGGAAACATTGTCGCTCTTATTTTAAAACATAAATATTGAACCTTTTGGTCAGAACAAAATTTTTGCTCTAGCTTAATATTCTTCTCATGTTTTTATTAATGACCAAGTCAATAGAGTAAGAGACCCAACCCCGAAATTTCCTGTTTTTTTCTTTTTCGAACCCACTGATAAATAAACATCGCATTATGCAACTGTAGGAGGCGCTTTTTTGATTGGTACATATTTAAAAAGTTGTCCCTCATGTTTCTCAACACAAAACAATACACACAAAAAAAACTGTCAAAATAAACAAAGTTTACATTTTTTGTTGCCAGTGATTTTAATAAAAACCAAACTGTTTTTTATTTAGCGTCTTCTGATTAGATTATTTGACCTAAACCTACACAACCCAGTACACTAAGACTGCTTTTTTTTGTTTGTTCGTTTTTAAAGTTGTACTACATATATGTTGTGATCTATCCTATACATTTAAAGTGAATTCCTGTGTATATGTAATCATTTAGAAAAAAATGAACATGATCAAATGCTGGGTGTGACCTTCCCATCCTCAGTCCCAGTCCTCTGTAAAAACAACCTAACACTGATGAAACAGAAAAAGTCAGATTAAAGCTGAAACAGCTGAAAAAAATAACTACACGTTTCTTATTCCTATTTACAATTCAACCTAAGGAGTATTATGGGTGACATGTAGGGTCCTGGTTAAGAAAAAGTATAACCTCTTTCAGTTATGTTTCAGGAGGTAAGAAAATAACTGGTACATAGCAAGTTCTGAATTATTAAATGTCAACAGATTATACATTCTCATTATTAATTAAAGCTAAAATGGAAAACTGGTTGAAAAACATTAGTACACTATTTTTGCATTTATTGGATTAAGTTGATGCTGCTACTTGACTTCACTTGATTATTTAGTCATGAGAATGAAAAGATGAAGATTAAGATTATACAGATGCCAATGTGAGCATTGGCATCTGTAATAACTGATCAGTAATAACTGATATTACTAATATCAGTTAGTAATATCTGATATTAGTTAGTATTACTAACTAATATCAGTTAGTAATACTAACTGATATTACTAATATCAGTTAGTAATATTCAGTTATTACTAACTGAATAATCAGTTAGTAATAACTGATTATTCACAATTACTTGAGTATTATATCCTTTATGAATCCAGACATTTTTAACAATGTGGACCCAAAAGTAGAACATGCAAATTTCAATATATTGTATCCACCGACAGGGTGTCCAACTGAAAAAACCAAACCATGCAAATACAAGAGCAGCAGGAATGTCACACGGAAAACAAGAATCTGCCCAAAATGGATTCCAGTACATTATTAAATCCTGAGGTTTGAGCAATCCTCACTGAAACCGCAAAAACCTAAAAGTTTCAAAATCAGACTCTGCAGAATTCAGATGCTAAATAAGTTTCTAATGGAGCAGTAGGAAAAAGAATGAACAAGTTCAGCATAAACTGGGTCATAAACAGCAGAAACAATTATCCTGAGGAAAAATAAAGAAGAGTGGACTGAAATACCACTGCAGAGATTTGAGAGACTGATAAAAATGATGGCCGCTGCAACGTGTTGCATCTGAGCTGTACTTAGTTTTTCAAAAACAGCTTTTCTCTTTCTGCTTCTATTTATTGACATGTGGAATCTGTTTTATATTTGCAAACTCAGAGAACCTCAACCTGGTGAAAAGCAGGTCATTTTTACAATGTCCTCATATCAAATTCTTATTTTTTTACGAGTCCATATTTATAAATGTGCCATGTTAGGATTACAGATAAAGCAAGCCGATTGATAAATGTTAAAACAGGACATTTAAAACAAAACATACACAGCTTTAGTTAAAATAACTTAAAATATAAGCAGGATCAATGGAATCAGAAAAACACAGACCTCCTAACTTTTAAGAACTCCAAAATTAAATCAAGGGAACAAAAAGAAGCACATTCTTTTTAGACAACTGAGCTACACTATATTTTCATAAATAAAAGTCTAAATGCAGTTAGATTTTACACAGGATTTCTTTTAAGGTTTTCTACTACGACAATAAAAATAAATTGACTTGCGCAGAAAACACCTGTTCAGAATATAGTTATATACCTCACTTTAAAATACATGAACTTCCTTTATGGGTGAGTTTTAGCAATAAAACACTACAATACAGAAGAGCATTATGTCATAGCCTGAATCAGTCAACATATTATGACATTTGAGCCTGTTTTTTATGCCAACAAAAATATTTTCCTTAATTGTAATTTTTGACAGCAAAGAAAATAAAATAAAAAATCTAAATATTTAAAACTCTCATTATTTCTATTAACAGTGGAGACGAGTTCACACTGTCGTAGGCTTTTACTGGACAACAGGGTGGACTACACCAACAGTGACACTAAAACACCAGGTCTCTGAGGTCTGTTATCTGCAATGGAAAGTTTCATAACAGGCTCCTCATCCCTCATTTACTTTACGTTTACATTTACTGAATAGTCTTATCATAAGATTGGTCAGCTGCTCTCACACAGACATATAGTGTCATAAAGCTGCAGGGAAGAAGTCCTTGATGCTCTAGACTGAGTGTTGCCTTCCTGATCCAGACGTGTCAGGATTAAAGCTGTCCTGTTTAACATCAAACCACCTGCTTTCCTGAACAGCGGCCCAGTGTCGAACTCCACAGTCCACAGGGTTTCTCTAAGTGTGAGGCTGTTTTCTCTACTAATTTTTAATTATTTTACACATTCAACAAATCAGTGTTTCCATTCTGATGACATACAAAGAGCCACCTAACTGACTAGCCTAGTCTGAAAAACAGGGTTATGTTTGGGGCAAAAGATGAATTGTAGAAAAAAAATAAAAACACAATAAACCTAGAGCTTATTTTCCTTTTTGGTAAAAACCCATATTTTAAATATTGCCTCCAGCATCTCAGCATACACTTACACACTTAAAGTCCCTTCTCTGTGGGTGTGGCTTTAACCGGTTCTGCCCTGGCGATTTGCTTCGCACCGGACTGCATTTGTTGATTGGCCTGTGATTTACGTCACTGCTGAACCGTCACCAGCTGAATGGCTGCCACTGAAGATTAAAGGATTTCTTAAATATGCTTAAAAAAAAATCAAGGCAACACTCCAGGTATGGTTTTGATCAGGGATAATTATAACATGATGTAAAGCTCAAAAATGTCAATTTTACATAATAATGCCCCTTAAAGGCTTTTCCACATTATATGCGGTTCTTAAACATCATGGGGTGATGATGTGGGGTTGATTGTGTTTGCATCTTCCTGTAAAACAGAATCATCTGCAGCTTGTAACTGATCTAATATGAAGTGCAGTTTTTGTTGTCAGTTTTGGTCTACACATGTTCAGTTTGCACTGCAAGTACAAACAGAAAACCAGAACTTTGCTCAGATGGAGCATTCACCATCTGAAACAGGACTGGAAATGTGATCAGTGGACTAGTTCTCATTGGTTAACAAACAAATAAATCAACATGAATATGGCATCAAAACTGAAAATAAAAAAGGTGGGGAAATTTTTTTTTGGTTAAAAAAAAAAAAAAAAAAAAGAATAGAAATATAAGAGGAAATAACCGACCAGCGGAGCAGATATTTCAGCTGCTGAAAAGAATCAACAATTCTGCTGATCTGTTTTAGGGGTTAGACATAACTAGAGGTACAGTTCCATCTTTTAGATCAGTAGTGAGTCAGCTTTACTGAAGAAAAGACAATATAAAGGAGGGCTGCAGGAATTTTGAATCTAATGCACAACCCTTTTTAGATTTTTGCTAAGACGTCAAAAATTCAAATACAAATAAAACGGTTGACTAAATCTAAAATGGTAAAATTGTGCTTAAAATCAGATCAAGACTACAATTAATTCAAAATATGCCGTCGAAATCAACACTGGTTTAAGGATTAGTCTTGGAATATTTTATCTAGAATGCTTCTCCAAGTAGGACAGAAATGAGCTAACTACACTGATGTGTAAAGACTGACAGCTGCAGACATGGCTGCACCACAGGGAGACATGAGATTAGTTATTATTGTTGAATATTGGTTATGATTAATTTGTCTTGCTTTTGTATCATCTAACAACGTCTGCTTCCATCTCTACAAACATCATTTTATGAATATATGTTTCATGAGGTGTTTGTGCCAGCAGCAGTGAATGTTCTTCTGAGTGAATCCATTAACCTTCCTAGTGGCGCAAAAAGTGGGTATGCAGCGCATGCAACGCATAGGGGCACAGCACCAGAGGGGGCGTCAAAACCCCGTGTGGAGAGGGCGGCGCGCCGATTATGTTTTCCTATACACTTCAGCGCGCCTTACGCTCCTTCTCCTCGCGTACGTAACGAGGTAAATGTGGCAAGTTTTACCTCGTTACGAGGGCGATTTATGTTTTCGCATCCACCTGAATAATGTGTAGTTGCGCCACTGAACCTTCCTGTTATGTTGCGGGTCAATTTGACCAGTTTTAAAGTTTAAAATTTTTTTAAAAATTGCTCCTAAGATGGACATGACCAGAAACATTGGCTAAATGTAATCATGAACCTGTAAAGGTTTCAAACTAGGTGGCTAATACCCCTATACACTTTGATACCTCCAACTAAATCCATTCTCCTAAAAAGGGATTAAAAAATCCCTAATTTAAATTATTTACATTGCCCTGAAACTGAATATAAACAAAATACCAGAAGTCTAATCAAGAGGACAGCATGTTTTTTTTGTCGTTTCTTTTTTAAATCAGTGCTGAAAAAGGAAACTGTTCTAGAGCATTAAGGATGTCGTCTTGTGGAGGACACCGTACAGCTGAATTTGAAACCACTTGCAGTCTCATCAGCACATGTGTACTCAGCTCCAGAGTCACATTGTACTCGCAGTGTGCAGACAAAAGACGAGGTTCTGCTGATCCAGATTGCACAGACTGTGGATCACCTCCAACAGCAGGGAACTGCTGTACTGGAATATTTTAAGTTACTTTGAAAACATGCTATGAAGGACAGCAACCCAGATTCTTAACAGTACGTTGAGGCTGATCTCACACTATGTCTCTGGATTTTTAGCTCGAGCCTTTTCAACCATCTTTGTGTGCTGGGAGAAGATGGCATCAAACGCCTCATCTCTGTGCATCATGGCACCAAACACCATCGGCTGCAAAGAAACAGGCAAGACAAGAGCATCAGATTATGTTTAAACAGAATCTGATGCCGTTTAAAGCACAGAAAAAGGAACCTTTTTTTCTGTTCTTACAATTGTTTTTAAACTGGTGTAACTAAAAACAACAGATTTTAAACTATATTTTCTTCAGCTTTGTCTGTAATGAAAATCTTACATAGTGGGTGTATTTTTAAAGCTTTTCTAAGCAATTATTTTAAAGAGAGCAAAACAATCAGATTGACACAGAGCCTTACAGAAGCATCCAGACCTGCGTTTTGTTAGGAGTTTATGTGACAGACTAGCATAAAGCAGTGCATCATTGTGAAGTGGAAGGTTGTTTTCAGAATTCTCAACAAAATAGTACATGATTTGGCATTCATTTACATTCTGTGCCCCTGTGACACCAGTAGTGTGTGATGTAACCCCAGTATTTACCTGACTTGGACAACAACCATCTTAGCAAAGACGCCTCGAGTTTTCTAAACTACACGAATGATCAAAACTATCAGTCTATCAGTTTGGACAAAACATTTGCACTCATACCTTTTGGGTGGTAGGCGTTGCTATGGAGATCCCCATCCCTGAACCAGGTAGCACTGACAAAACCTTATACTGTATGGAAGACAGAAGTATAAAAGAGAAGCAAAAGAAGCAATGATTATCAGTCACCTTTAACAAACATCTACCTTCTGGATTTCAGTGATTTCGGTCAGTTTGATGACTTTATTCCTCTTTGAAGAACCAGATCTTGAGCTGGAGCTCTCGAAACACAAGTGGCTGTAAATTCAGAGGACACCAAGAAAAAATGTTTTCAACAAAAACATGATAATTTCTGTCAAATTCTCAGATGAAATGATCAGATGTTTTGTTGGTGTTTGCATACACAAAGGTTAAAAATCGTATTTATGAATAACCATATGAAAGCCGGAAGAGGAATGTGAGAGTGACTCAAATGAGAGAGGGGGTGCTTACTTCTCTGTAACATACAGGACTCCGTGACGGATGTAGTCTGTTGGTGTCTTCTTGTCTCTATTGATCAGGCAGCAGCGCCAGCCATTCTCACACACTGAGAAATGAAGCAGTAGTTACAAATCTCCTGGAAGCAGATTAATAGTGTATTGCTCTACCAATAAATGTAGTGCTGAACAGCCAGAATTCAATCAAAACAATGTTAGTGACTGCAGCTGTTCCTAGTCTGACCTGGCAGAGGGCGCTCACTCTCCGGAAGGCTGAAAACCTCGTGAAAAGCTCCTCTCTTTGTGCTGTAGTATCGGCCTCCATCTTCTTCTCTACTGGCACCGAGAGGTACAGTACAAACGCTCCCTCGGCCCCCTGCCGTGGCAACCTGAACAGGAGGATGGTTGGGGGAAATAAATTAGATGTCCTCCATACTCTTTCAGCATGGTGTTGCTTTTGTGATAATTTCTGTCATTTTTTTTGCCTCTTCCAACTTTCTTACCACACAGTTAGAACTCAGTAGACATGTTTCTGATGTAAGGGTTAGAAAAACTGCATTGCATCGAAGTATTTTGCATGTCAGAAAAAGAGGCCTACAGTTTGGAGTGGTGAAAACTTTTTTTGTTACTAGTTATCAATTTAAACATGTTGATTCAAACAATAGTTAGCAACTTTTCTGCTAATGTCTAGCAGGACATTAGCATAAAGGTATGAGATATGAAACAGCTTAAAAAAATCACAACCTAGTCTTTGTTCAATTTAAAGTTTCAGAACTCTAAGGATTTCTTTAAATTGCTACATTTAAAGAAATCAATATTGATTGATTCTCAAGGATCTGAAACTCACTGGAGGGATTTCTGTCCCATCTGGACTGAGAACCCCTCAGGAGCAGGGCCGGTCAAAAACCCCTAAAAAGGCACTGGCTTAAAAAAAAAAAAAAAGGGGCACATCTTACCGCC